CTCTCTCTCTTTCTCTCTCTCTCTCTCTCTCTCTGTCACCATCTTTTTATAATACAGTGTAGAGAGCTAGCCCTTTTTGTCCTGTAAAATTCGACCAACGTCAAATTCTTATCCAGAAGTTTACATACCAGACATGCCTGTATAATATCAAGATTAAATAGAACTGACTTCAATTTTGTTTTTAAATTGGGAGACCAAATGTCTTAAAAATAATTACATGCATTTAGTGTATGTGCAAAGAGGTGGTAAATTTCTTTCTAAACTTAGACAAAGTCAAATTTCATGGTATGTCTTTTTTTCCTCCAGGAGAGATGACGAACTGCCAGGAGTTTCCCTGCGAGAACAGCAATGCTTGCGAAGAGGCGCCGGCATCTGCCTACAACAACAACACGTCAGGCTCCTCCTACTGCGTGTGCCGGGGGAAATGGGCGGGGCTTAGGTGTGAGGTAGGAATCAAGCTCCGCGCCCAATCCATACAATCAGAACACGTCATACTGAAAGTTGAGGGAGAAGAAGATTCCAGAAGTTTTGCTGATCTTTCTCTCAGGGAGTTGACTATATCCGTCTGGAATCTCAACCGGTCTGACGAATGTTCTATGACACGGAGGAACCAGACAACACCTTCCCTGACTGTAGAAGGGTTGGAAAGGAGCCAGGAGTATGTCTTCTGTATAGCCAACGGCCATTACAATCTGTGTGCCTTTTTAGGATCAGGCACGGCGAATTATTCTCTGGAAAGTAACTGTGTGTATATCCAAACAAAAGCAGTCGATGATTCAGTGCTGGATATTTTTCTCATTATTGTTCCTTGTGCTGGGGCGTTGTTTCTTCTTATTCTTGCCATATTTTTGTACGCCCATCGACATTCCTTGCTGCTGCAGCTTTGCCTCAACTACTGCTGCTGCAGGAGCTGCTACTGCTGTCGTAAGCACTTCAGACGCCAGCGTATGCAAATGCGTAAACAGAAACCAGAGCATAATGATATTCTCATGCCGCCAGATATGGATATCAACTTTGAGCAGGAGGACGGTCTGGGTATTGACACTTTGCTCCCTGGTTGGCATTCCAGAGGAGGATCGTTTGACCAACAAGAAGACAGCTTTGACTACAGTGAGGACTGGCCAGTGGTGACTGACCAGGACATGTTTCTCTTAGATGATCCTTGTATGACATCTTCAGGATACTCTCAGCCTCATAGTGATTATACAACGCAAACGTACATCAGCGATCAAGACATACCTTGTGCCACTTCACAGAATATGTTATCTGACTTGTCAAACAATGAGATTTTTACCACTGCTCACATCGACAATGATTTCCACTCAAATTTTCCTGTACATTCCAACACTTTTGCTGATATACATGACAGTGACCAGCTGCAAATACTCTCAGTGCCTACGACTACCCACAGCTTCTTTCTTCCTGACCAGAATCGCTCCATGCCAATGTACCAGTACCAGCTTTGCTACCCACAGAATACAGGTGATGAGCTCATTTCAGACTTCACGTCTGGTTCAACTTCTGGCCCACAAGCAGTCCGATACTCTCAAACCAAAAAACGGTTGAGACGAGGAAGGAGCAGACATGCCACTCACCGCCCTCATTCAGCAGGCGATTTCTTCCCGGTGAATGTAAACGTTAATTCAGGATATCCCTTTGCCAGTTTCATGAACACACTCCATGACCACAACGCAGTTTTCCGTCCTGTCTCCATGGGACCAACAATTGGGTCTGCCAACGCAAGAGATAATATGTATATTGACTCGACATTTGGCATCAGTCCCTTTCGGGTTGACCTTAACCGGAGCAATCAAGAATACAGCGTTTATAGAGAGCCTATACCTGAACAACAAGAGCCGGCTCCTCCTCACATCAACCGCTTCTCTTACTACAGTGATGTGGAAGCTAGTGCTCTGGATACTTTCCATGAAGGCGCAGAGAACAGCTTCTCCTCTCACACTCTTCCGCGGATGAAGAAGATTGGATTCCGGACACCGATTGCGACAGTTGAAACCAGTGCTGAGAATAATGAACAAAATGAGAATAACTTTTCGTATAACACCCTGCCAACAAGTCCTAGATTTGATCGTGTTGGTCATAAATCCCCACCAAAACCAGAGCATTTGAGTCTACAGGCTCTTGATCTTAGCCCTGGGAAGTCCTCTCAGAATGGGACCCTCTCGCATGGCGCAAAGTCTGGCCGACGTCGCGTGAAGAAACTCATTCACCATTTCGAGAATGCGAGTCTTTTGAAGAATGGTAGGGGAAATAAGCGGAAAGGGGAGGACAGCATTGAGGAGGAATTTAGAGATCTCCAGTCTCCTCTTTCAGAAGAGAGGAAAAAAGTTCCGAAAAACTCTTCTTTCTTTCGTGCCAATCCAAAACCAAAGCTACCGACATCATCCATACCTGTGGTCCCTTCTTACAGCTCAGAAAACCCCCCTCGTCTTCGGGAACATATATTTCGCGGTCATCCATCTCAGCACGTCATTCCGCCTTTCTCAACAGATGATGACGACGATGATGATGACAATGACAACAGCTGCAGTCATGGTGGCAGTGGGAATCACAATGATAGCTCTAGCTACACAAGCTTCAACAAAAACGAGGACAATTATGATGACGACGGAAACGATGTGTCTTTCTCTGACAGTACTTCCCTCTCTACCTTCACAACTCCAGAAGCCATCTCCAGCTACGATGATGACACAAGAAATCTTGTGACTCCATTTTGCACTGGGGACTCTACGTCTGATGATGCTGAGGATTTCAGTGATGAGGAGGGCAGTTGTCTTAGAGCCTCTACAGACACTCTGAAAAATGAGGACACATCGCGTCTCTAATCCCGCCTTGATGAATACTTTTATTTATGGATTGCTTAACAAAAAACTCAATACGCCAAATTTAGAGAAACAAGTGTATGATGTTTCTAACCCACATGCAGGCACTTAGCCACTTTCTTGAAAGAAATTTTTTTCTCGTTTCGCAAAACACATCATAAAATATTTTTTTGCAGCGTTAGAAATATTTATGATGATAATGCTGCATTATTTGTGGCAATATGATCTGTTATGACTTTTTTTTTGTTCCAGAATTTGGCTTTGGTGATTTGCCTTTACTCTGTTCATTTACCTTTTAATAATCTCAGGAACACTGACAAAATCAGGTTTTTGTTTCTTTATGCGCATATATTGCAGCCTTATAAAGTAGTCAGGTGAATTACATTGTTTGTGCCCCAGTGGCAAGGATGATTTTGCATATATTATATCTCCTCAGCTAATGAGATCAGCCATTGAATGAACTAATACCAGAGAGGGATTTTTTGTCATTTTAATCTTACTTAGAGCGTTTTTGTGGGAGGGTGTTTCAGAGGAAAGGGGGATTCTGTCATTTTTCTTGAGGTTTTTTTTTTCCTAGGAGATTAGATCCGGACAGTGTTTTGCATGAGAAATGATTGTGATCTTTTGGTTGAAATTCAGGATTTGAGAGCAGGATTGTGCCCATTTGACTTTAAAACTGCCATGTCCATGATTGTTGTGCTTTGAACAGCTATTCAAAGCACGGCAGAGCTAATCAAATGCTGTGTGTTTTTGGGGGATATTTTTTACAGTAAATGGATTTTCATCTCATTTTTCTCAAACTGTAATACAATTAGTGTGCAATAATTATATATTAAAATTATTCCGGTAAATACAGCAATACTCTGTACTTGATTGTTAAAAGATAGGGTGGTAAATGAAGCCAACCAGAGTTACAAAACATGTCTCTAAAAAAAAATATTCACTACTATTCAATATTCACTATTCACAGCATGAAATGTTCAAGAGCACTTCACTTTTGTTCTCATTTAATCTTTTGTAAAGAAATAAACAGTATGTTGTCTCATTGAGCTCCCCGTCCTCTATTCAAAATGCAAAGTATTATGAATGATGTTGTGACATCATCACATTGTAGGCCCTACTATAAACGAGCCAGCACATGAGTGAATAGTTAGTGAATGTCAAATAGCAGAAGTTAGGAATAGACTTATCATGTAAGAAAAAAAAATTCTAATAGTTTTTGAATGGCATAAATAGGGACCTCACGCTTTGAAACATCAATAGTTTTGTTTCCTGAAAATTGCACAGCAGTGGTAGAGGGAGGATGTTAATTATCTTTGAAATAACTTTTCTTTTTTTTTTAGATTTCAAGATTAAAGAAAGATTCAAAATAAAGGAAACACTACGACATCAACATTAGTTTGATTAAGCTTTCATTTCCAGTGCACACCCACTCAGCAAAATATATTGTCAGCGGAGGAAATCAGTGAGCAAATTCAAATTTTGATAACCCATTCTTATGAAAGCTAACTCCTTTGAATTTATAAAAAGTTAGATGCAAATATGATTCATGTCGTAACGTGTCCTTGTGTATGAAAACAAGCCCCTCAGTTTTATAGACTGTCTTCTCAAGACACCCACACTGTCCAGAGAACCCTTGCAGATCATACATTATTACAAGTATTTCTGTAACAATGGCCTGTTCTGGAATTCTACTTTCTCAAAACTAAATTATGTCTTTTTATACCTTTTGCCCCTTGGTTCTTGTCAGAAAGTACATTTTTCCCACCGTTTTGTTGATAAATTTGTTATTGATTAGCTGTAGTCCTATATATACAGAACTGTGTAGGCCTTACCATTAACCTAATACCTACTTTTCTTTTACACATAAACATTCACTTATATTTATAT